CTTACTCTGAAATAAGAGAAGTCACAGAGTAAATACCTGCTTGGAGTAGCCCTCTCTCCCACCTGAGACTTAATTCTGGGACTTTAGCTTCCCCTCCCTACTTTACCTGCTGCCTAGTTAAACAAACAAGAAAAACACAAAATTAAACCCATAGACCCTAACAGGAAAAACAAACAAGGCAATACACATGCTTAGGAAGCAAGAACATCTGTACAAAAGGTGGAAAAGTTGAAAAAGAAGAAATGAAGTCTGGAGACCTATGCCAAGAACAAGATTTTGAGAACCTAACAGGCAATGATTTTAGAATAACAAATTTGAAAAAAACTCCATGAAATCCTAGCAGTTCAAACACAGAAAATATTCCCCTTAAGCTCAGGAACAAGAAAAAGATGTCCCCTTTCACCATTACTGTTCAATGTAGTATTCAATGCTGAAATCCTAATCAAGGAAGAGAAATAAAAGGAATCCAAAATGGAAAAGAAGTGTAAATATTAGTATTCACAGATGATATGATGACATACTTAGAAATTCTAAAAGATACTACCAAAAATCTACTAAAAATAATAAAATAATACAGTAAAGAGAAAGGACACAAAGTAATACACAAAAATCTCATTTTTCTATGTGAACAATGAAGTAGAAGAAAGAAATTAAAGAAAATAATTCTGTTTACAATCAAATCAAAAAGGATGAAATAAATGCCTTAGACTAAACAAATTAATGTGAAAGATCTATACGCTGAAAACTATAAGATATTGTCAGAGGTGATAGAAGAAGAAACTAGGAAGTGTGAAGATATCGTTGGTTCATCAAGTGGAAAAATAAACATTGTTAAATGACCACATTGCCTAAAATAATTTATAGATTCAATACACACCTATCAAAATCCCAATGATATTTTTCAAGGAAATAGAACAAACAGCTCTAAATTTTTAATGGAATGAAAAAATGCACTGAATAGCCAAAATAGTCTTGAGGAAAAAAATGGCAGTTTCACACTACTTAATTTCAAACTATACGAAATAAACATTGATAGTAATAGAAAAATGTGTGGTATCAGAACAAAAACAGAAACACTGACCAATGTAATAGAATTGAGAGCCCAGAAAAAAAAACCCATGTAAACTTGGAAAATTGATTTTTGACAAAGGTGTCATAATCATGAAATGGAGGAAGGCAGTCCTCTTAAACACATGATGTTGAGAAGCTTGGACATCCACAAGCAAAAAAAGTGAAACTAACCAATACCCAAAAATAGATGACTGGATCAAGAAGATGTGGTATGTATACACAATGGAATACTATTCAACAATCAAAAAGGCTAAAACTACCACATGGGGGAGGGGCCAATGGACTATGGTGTATGACTATGGGTGACTTGGTGGTGGGTGTGGTGTGATAACTTACATGTGAAGAGGTGTGAACCTATACCTCTGAATCACTTAAAATGTAATAAGCCAATGTTACCTCAATTAAAAAATAGAAATAATGTTGAAAAACTTAAGCATTATTAATTACTTTAAACATCAATTTCTTAAAATAGTGATTAATAAGATTAGATTAAGTTAAATAGCTTAAAAAAAGGTAAAAATTGCAAGCCAAGAATACTATTTCCAACAAAACTCTCAGATGTGAGGGGGTAATAAAGGTCTTCCCAGGGAAACAAAAGCTGAATAAATTTGTCAAACTAGAGTACTACAAGAAAGGTTGAAAGGAGCTCCCCTAAATTAAAGAAAGTCACAAAAAATTGATTGAGAAACAGTAAATTAAAGACAGAATTACCAGTTGTAAGCCCTCAATACCAACAATCACCCTTAACACAAAAGGACTGATTCACCAGTCAAAAGCATGAGTGACTGGTTGGATTAGATAACAAAACCCAACTTTCTGTTGTTTCCATTTAAGCTCCAATGATAAATACAGACTCTAAGTTAATGATTAGAAAATAATACTACAAGAAAATTGGGGATCATGCTAAGTGAAATAAGTTTGAAGGAGGAAGACTAATACTGGCTGATGTCACTCATACGTGGGATTTAGAGAAGCAAAACAAAGACACAGACAAAACCAAACAAAAAAAATATAATTGTAGATATGAAATTCTTGGAGGTGGACAGGGAGCAAAGTGGGGTCCAGTGGACTATAGTGGAGGTTTATGAGGGCTTTGATTGTCAGCGTGTTATGTGGTAATACACATTTGAATATGTGTGAACCTGTAACTCTAAATCGTATACAGTGTTGTAAGCTAATGTCACCCCAATAAAAAAATGCAATTTTAAAAAACAAAATGATATCTTTTCTGACAGCTATCAAATTAAGAATATTTCTTAAGGATATCCAAGATAATTGTTTACATTTCCTTTTCACCTCCCCCTGCCCCCTCAATTCAATCTCTTTCCAATAAGAAATTTCATTTTGAGATTTCATTGAGATTTTTATAGTTTCAGAAAGTAATTAGAAGTTTTCCAATTCATAGGCCTCTCTGGTGGTGCAAGGGGTTAAGACGCAGCCTATGAAGCTATCCGCAGCCACTGCAGCATGAGTTCAATCCCCGGCCAGGGAGCTGACCCACAGGACACAGCAGACCTCTCCTGACTTGCCTGCTGCTTCTCTCAGCAGTGTATTTCAGTCAATCTGCCTGTTCTGTTCCCCACTTTGTCTCTGGTGAGTCCTCTCACCCCCCACACCTCTGGCCTGTACCCCAGTTCTTGTATGCATAAATAAATAAATCTTAAAAAAAAAAAGCTTTCCAATTCAATAGTGACTCAACCACCAAGACACTTTCTTTAAAGCTTACCCAAAGATTCAGAAGTGTACTCCTAGCATAAAAGATAACTTATACTATGTTCACAACATCAAGGGGCTTCTCAGAATGTCTGGTTGAGTGACCGAGGATACCCCAGACATCAAGAGCCAATGACAGTTTTGATTACTGCAGAAGGATTACTCTTAATGGCCCTGATTTATTGTCTTTCTGTTTCCTTTTACTTTTTCCAGGTCTACTACTGTTAACCTTTGTTTGCTTGCAAGAGGAATGTGAGCCAAAATTTTAAAGTTTGAGACATATAAATAAAGGAAACAAGTAAATAGGGAAGGAGAATAAATACTGAACAAGACTGGGCAAGGTGACAAGAAGGAATTAGTGTGAAAACTGGAAGGGAGCCAGGGTGCAGAATACAGCAACTATGTAGTTCACAGGAACTTTTAGTGTTCAGCAAGCTTCAGTGATCACCCAGAGAAATCCAGAATTTTCTGGTTTTGTTTGGTTTTCTATAGTTATCCTTGGAAATTTGACACAGGTAATCTGTGTTTTCTGTCAACCAACCCATGTAAATTCAGAGGACTATGTGGCCAGTGCTCATGAAGTCCCACGTGATTGGAATTGCTAGGAAGAGGACCTCTTGTGGTTCTATTGGGAAATACTTCAGCTAAAACCTTTTTTGGAGCTCTGCAGACATTATTTGGGGATTCAAAGAAACAAATTCCATAAAACTCTTAAAAATTGCATTTCAGATATTTACAGTATTTAATTGTTTTGACAGTAAGTAACAATATTGCTTCTGTATTGCATCTCTGGAATTCAGTGTAATTTAAAGCACTTTAGTTTTTTTCCATTTAATTCACATATTCCATAAAAATTAGGAAGAACAGCGGTTTTCATTTCCATTTTGCAGATGGATGGGAGAGTGCAGAGCAGGTAGGAAACTTATTTGTGGTTTTACAGTGGGGGAGACTGGCTTATAATAGAATTTGGATATCTTATCCTGGGCTCCATTCAACAGTCTGGGTTTAGAAAACATTCATTATTAAAGTTCTAAAGCAAAAACTTCTATTTTGCAAGTGTCAAGTGATTTCTTTATTCAAGAAAAGATGGATTGAGAGACATAAAACTTACTCTTTGTCTTCACTGTGAAAAGAGGCTATTCCTAGATTCTCCAGGGGGAAAAATCTGCTTCGAAAAAATCTGGGGAGAACAGCATGGTACTAAAAAACTTTGGAGAAATATAATGTCAATTACTTACATTTAAAAGGAAGCTACATAAACTATAGCTATTTCTCACATTTCTCTAGAAATTACATAAAATGAAATCTCTTTTATAGTTCTCTCTGACAATCCCTAGACCCTGTCTTTCTTTCCTCTTGACTTTCAAGTATTTATTCTAAGAGAGTTTGTGAAACTAATACACAAATGCCTTCTCTTTATTTTGAATTTATCCTTTCAAGAACAGGAATGCCAATACTCAAATGAGTAGTTCTGTTTTCGGGGCAGTTACCATTTAATGTTTTAGAAGCGATTGGAAGAAAGTCACAAAAGTGATAATGTCTAAGAAACGCAGTTCAAGCAGGGTGTCAAGGATTTGATGACATGATAGAGCAGAAGGCAGGGGTATACAAGATTGTTCCAGTGAATACTGAGATGTTAAGGGAAGGATATAAAAAAAAGGAAGAGGAAATATAGAAAAGCATAGCCATATGTTAAAAAAATTCGTTGGAGACATCTTTTTTTGGTGACTTTAATAATAGTTCCATTTGTTGAGTTTTTGATACAGCTTTACTTTCCTTACTAATAATTATGTGCTGCTACATAAGTTCTGGAAGCAGTAAGTTGGATACTTGATGCAAGGGCATGAGACAGGATAGATTTTAGAGGAAAACACTATTTCAGATGGGACACATCATCCTGTAGTACTGAAGACTCTGAATATTACAGAGTTGATCTTTTAACGTATGGATTTCCTGAACTTTTATTATCACTGTTTTATCATTTTTTTCACTCAATAATTGTAGCAGTCAGCTTTAACTAGATGTAAGAAGTCCTTATTTTGGAAAGGGACTAGAGAAATGAAAATCTAACTTATTCAGAGCTTCCTGCCAGCTATGTTTGTAGATCTCTAGGCAAAGTATGTGCCTGGCCTTTTTCAGCGAAGTATTTTCAGTAACAAGTTGTCAGTGAGGTCAGTGACTAGCGGCTCAGGATTAGATACCACCCACCCTGGCTTGTAACCTCCCCTTTCTTTCTTATCCTGGGTAAACGACACTCAGCTAAAGTGACTGCCCCACTGTCACTGGCTCTCAATTTTGTACTCTGTAACTCTGTGACTAATCAAGAAGTCTGTTTTTCTTTTGCTTTGTTTTGTTTTTTCCCCAAAGCTCTTTTTGGAAAATCCCCCTACAGGAACTGAATTTTAAGCCCATTTACTTTTTAGGAAGCTACAGAAAGGTAAGAGTCAAGTTTATAAAGAGAAGAGTTGACTTCAGTACATTCTTTTTTCTGTGTTGAATTGCTCTGCTTTAGTTACATATTGTAGGCTTAAAATGTGGGGTTTCATTCTGAATTAAAGAACATCACATTATTATATAAAATGGGAATGTTTTGACTAGTTATGATGAGAAATGTAGGCTTTCATGCTAATTTTAAAGTTAAAAATAACTTTCCAACTAGTGCCAGGAGAAACTAGTAGCCAAGGTCGTGCTTTGCATTCAGAGAGTTTCTGGCTATAAAAAGCCAATTGGGATACTGCAGGAAAAGATAAGATATGGCCTGTATGCTTGTGCGTTGGCATAGAGCTGTCGCAAAAGGAAGTAAAGATAGAAAATGTTCGAAGGGATTTAATTTCCAACCAAAAGCTTATTCATAGTAAATGATTCTTTTAAGTGAGATCATGGCAAAAACTTTTTTTTTAGTTTCATATTTGTTTTGCAATTGACAGTAATGGTAGGAGGTTGAGGAATCTTCTGAAACTGTTTTAGTCCCATTTGTAATCAAGTGAAAATCATGCTATATGGGGTGAATATGGTATGTAATAATCATGTAAAGAGAAGGTCATTATCTGATGGGTTCTGATTTACTTCCAGTAGTTAGTCTTGGTTGCACTGAGGACAGATCTTGAAGGAATAAGTTCAAATAGAAACAGGAAGGCATTTAGATTAGGCATCAGGAAATTCATCGACTTTAGGGATGTTAAGTCTCTGATAAACACCACTAAAAAAGACTTACATCTCTGACGATATATGAGATCCAACGATTTGCTTAAAGTAAAACAATGGGAAATATGTAAATTCAAATTAGACAGATTGAAATATTGAGAATAATTGTGATTGGGAAATGTGGATGGCAACAACCAAATTTGAATGGCATGTTTGGTCATGCTATTAAAATTTCATTACCCACTATAAAAAGTTACCTGAGTAACAGCATAGGAGAAATTTGTTAGATGGGAAACCCTTAATACAGACAGTAAAGACACAGTTATATCCATTTGTTATTTCCTATACATAGTCTGTGTGTTCCTTCTTATTTGAGTAAAATATTGGGGTTTTTATAGTAAAACATTTACTTTTCATCTTAAAAATAACACAGATTCATTGTCAGAATTTTGAAAGTGTAAAAAAAATTACTTGTAATATCATTGTTGTATTTCCTTCTAGTCTTTTTTCCTCTGCATGAATTTAAAATAATTGCAATAATACTGCAGATGAAATTCGGAGTCTTATTATTTTTTAACTTTTAATAAAAATATTCTACATAGATATTATTTTAAATTGTGTGTAAGATCTTCCATGTGAATGGATATAGTAATATTAATCATTGAACATCTAGGCGTTATGTAAAAGTAAATATCTTTGTGTGTGTTTATTTTTAAGATCATTTCTTTAAATTCTATTTTTCCATGTGGACTTGTTGGATTAGAGAAAATGGGTTGAAGGCAAAAGTTGTGATTTTTAAGAAGATGGATTTTTGCTGTTTTTCTTTTGAGGCATTGTAAAATTACTTGTCTACCAAATGAAATATTTATCGATTGTCTCTGATTTAGAAAACATTGTTATCAGGCACTTAGGTAGCAATATACTAAGTGTTTGGAAGGACAGAATCACCTCTATTTGTAAGATTTCCACATATGAACTTTTATAGATATCAGCGGAGCAGCATGTCAGAGTTGAAAATACTTCATCTCTCCCTGAGATCAGCAGATTGTATTATTGACCATATTACTTTAGAACAATAGAATTTATAAATAACTTGTGTTCAAAGACCATCTATGCATTCTGATTTATTTGAATTTTATGATCCAACTGTAACAAAAGAAGTATAGATTTAGGAAGGACTAAGTAGTTATAATAGTTTGGGAAATTAGATTGCAGAACATCTGTAGGCAATAGAATGGAAAGAAAAAGGATAAAGAGCAGACTTAAGACCAGAACTCCAGCTTGGGTTTTTCTGCTTAGGGAAACATGAGGCTAGAATAGAGTGGTAGTGGCTAGAGTGGTAGTCTGGGAAGACACAAAATTTTTATGTTGTTAGTGTTGAATTTGAGAACTGTGGTTGTAGAAATAGAATATATTGGAGGAAAAGAGCTAAGGAATTGGTGTTAAGTAAAACTATTTGTTTTTTTGGTGGTAATGATTGGTCCAGAAAAATCAAAGTGGAGTAGAAATACCAATATGATTTGCAGGAGGTGAGGTCTAAGATTGTGAATTTTAAAAGAATATATACTGCTTGTATTAAATTTTTTTAATTGTGGAGTTTTATTTTCTATAAGATTTAGAGGAAGACCACAGCTATGGAAGGATGGGAGTTCCTTAAGAATTTCTGTTTGCATATTTCTTCTTTTTCTTTGGAATAGAAAGAATTAAAAGTTAAGAAGTTGGCAACCCAATCTTGCCTGAAGAGACTATGTACTTTGTAATGAAGTCTTAAAAATAGTGTTTATTTATGGATCATTGACTCATGGGAATGTTAGTCTAGGGACTCAGAAAGCGTGATTTTCTGATTCTCGTTTGGATACTGGGTTTTAAGTGAAATGTTACTGTGGGATGGAACTCCTGAATTTAGTCTAGTTGCAAATCTAATGGGAAGTGACAGATAATTGAGACTAGAGATTTTTAAAAAGTGAACAGGACTATTAGCTGTTGCACCTGATTTTCACATGATTAATTACTGTTTTTAACTACATTATTGCTGACTGGGACACAGCCAGTAATCTGCTACCAATTTAATCACTAATTTCCAGGGTTTGAGAAATGATTTTGAGGTCCTTTGTGCAAAATTGTAAGGCAATTTTATTTGGCATTTCCCCCTCCCCTTCATTATCCTTACCACCTTCCCAGCATGCTTGTGCTGCTTCAGGACCCTCTATCAATGTTGAAATAGATTTAATGGAGAATACAATGTTTAGCACAAGAAAGACCTTCATATACTCGTAGTTGAACACATAATAAAGGTCTTACTTTTATATCTAACACTATTTAAAGTGTGATCAGCAGTTCTCAGTGTCTGTTACTGGTCCATGAAAGGAGATGAGAAGTTTGTTCCAGAATATAAATCATCCACGCCCTAAGACTTTGTAGCAAGACTTTCTAGATGAAGGGTGCCATAATTGATTTACATTCTGGTGCAATCTCATTTCTGACCTGTACTTTGAATAGCATTGCTTCAATTACACAGTACAAGCATTTATCACCTCTATTTATATGCATATAGGGTAGAGAATTAGGATGGAAGTGTACAATTAGCTAGATAAATGAATTACCTGGTTTCAGTTCATGAAATTTATGGCCATGGTATCAATGCAGAGACCCTGGATTAGCCCACTGAGAACCTGCAGAATGATCGAGGGGTAAGATTTCCAAAAGGGCTGCATTGGGTCCACTCTAGCCACTTTGGAATTTATTTACTCATTCTGGATGACTTGTGTACCAGTGCTATGGAACCAAATAAAGGTTCTGTCCTCATGGTGTTTCCTATCGTGTGTATTTTTGAAGGTGAGGCTAAATGGAGAGGAAGAAATAAAACTGACTTCTCTGTTATTTTCCAGAAGACAAACCAGGGTCTGTCTTTGTCTAGTGCTAGAGCTAGTAGGGCATGTTTCTGTGGGAATTTTCAGCATTAACTTTCTTCTCTGTTAGATTCAGCAGTTTCCAATATGGATAATGAAGATATCCTGGTTTTAAGAGTCAAATAATAGGTGATAGGCACTCCTGGTTGCTTGTGCAATATCTATGTATTCTGCTCTGGCATTATTCCTTTAAATAGTACAGTTATATTTAGATTGTTGTATAGCAATCCATACAGACTATTTCATTCCTTTAAATTTTAATTTTTTCATTTCATTTGAAAAATTTCAAATTTTTCATTTTTTTTCATTTCATTCCTTTAGCTTTTAATTTTTTCCTCTGTTTATTCAGTTGATTCAATGATTTATTTAAGAATCATGTTTTACTACATAGGAATTTAGCCTACTTTAGTTCATCTGTGATGATATAGACGTATTTTATTTTGATATATATGTATTTTTTTTATAATAAATTTTATTTTTATATTCCCCATACAATTTCAACAACCCCCCCATTTTGACCCCAATCCCTCCCCTCCCTCCACCCACCCCCTAAAAGTGTCTCTGGTTCATAGATTTTTGTTGATTTTGATTTTCACTTTCTTATAGTTATTCATTTCCTGGTCCCTTATTTAAGTTTTCTAGATTCCTGCTATGAGTGAGACCATCCGGTATTTTTCTTTTCTTTCTGGTTTATTTTTGCTGAGCATGATCCCTTCCAGCGCTATCCATGTTGCTGCAAATTGCATGTGTTTATCTTTTTTGAATGCTGAGTAATATTCTATGGTATATATGTACCACATCTTCTTGATCCAGTCATCTATTTTGGGCATTTGGGCTGTTTCCAAAGCTTAGCTATTGTAAATAGTGCTGCTATAAACATAGGGGTGCAGGTGTTCTTTGGAATTGATGTTTCTGTGTCCTTTGGGTAAATACCTAGGAGTGGAATTGCTGGATCATATAAAGCTCTATGTTTAGTAGGTCCAGAAATCTCCACACAGCTCTCCATAGTGGTTGGACCAGTTTGCACTCCCACCAACAGTGCAGGAGAGTTCCTTTTTCTCCACATACTCGCCAACATTTGTTGTTGCTAGTTTTTTTAATATGTGCCATTCTCTCTGGTGTAAGATGGTATCTCATGGTAGTTTTGATTTGCATTTCCCTGATTACAAGTGATGTTGAACATTTTTTCATATGCCTGTTGGCCATTTGCATTTCCTCTTCAGAGAAGTTTCTTTTTAGCTCTTCTGCCCATTTTTTGACTGGATTATTTCTTTGTTGTTGTTGAGTCTCATCAGCTCTTTGCAGATTTTTGTGCTCAATCCTTTATCATTAGTGTTGTGTGCAAAAATGTTCTCCCAGTTGGTGGGTTTCTCTTTGTTTTTGT